GCACACCACGGGTATCGAAACCCGGTTTTTAGCGTTGTAAGTCCGCGGACATACCGCTGTGCCACTGGGAGCTCTTTTTTTTAATTTTTACTTTTGATAAAGATGCAGATACTTTCATTACAACTTTGTTAATATTATCACGTGCATCATAGACAAAAAACTAAATTATAAACGAGGACAGATTTACAACTTTAATATATACGTGTCATTATAAGTTTTGTATTAATTTTTTAAATTTATTTTCATTATTATTGTTGTTGTGTGTTTCTTCATATTTTTTTTTTCATCTACCTACGTTTTTGTTTGTTTTAACACGGTATATCCGTGATGGAATGGAACTCCAGATTTAAGCGTTGTAACTTCGTAAACTTATCGCTGACCCACTGGGAAACGTTTCAGATCTAACTACCATTTGACCACAGATACTAAATTGTTTTTGTACCACTTTTCTTTTGATTAGTTCATCACGGATTTCAGCTCAGGAGTGTGTAAAAATCACATTTCACTTCTATATTTTGTTTGACACATGTCTCTGCTTCGAAATCTTATTTAGTGTGACAGCTCGTGTGTTAAGGTGGACCTGTATTAGGGAAATTGGCTTATATTGTTTGTTTTAGCGCAGAGCTACGCATTAGACTACCTGCGCTCTGTCCACTGAGGGAGGACCGAACCCAGAGTTTTAGCGTTGTAAGTCTATAATATCTGCCAAATTAAAGTCACAGTAGAGGAAACAAATGCTTGTTGTTGAAACACAAAAAAAGAAAGAGAATGACATTCACAAAGAACACACACACACACACACAATATATATATATATATAATTTTGTTTGTGTAATATTATCTAATATTTTATACTTTTTTGATGTAATGTGCTCACAAAAACTATTTATCAACATACGAATACTTTTTTTCTTCCTGGTGATTTTATTTTAAAACGGCACCTATGTCAACCAAATGTCTACATGAAATCTGTGCTATTGCCAAATGTCTATCTGAAATCTGTGTTATTTGTGCGCAGTATCAAACAACTCGATTTTATAGTATAAGACACCAGAACTAGTGAAGCAACCGACCTTAATAGGCCTAACAGTTTGATAAAAATTATGTTTGACTGGAGATTCTTTTATTTTTAAATCGCATTCCTCTCAATTAATCCACTACGAATTTCAAATCAGTCTAGCTGATGAGTTCTGATGTTAAATCAAATGTTTGTTAAAGGACAGTGACGTGTGACAGACGAAATATAGGCCTGAAATGTTTTTTTTTTTAACAATTGTGACTGAAATCACTAATGGAGTACTTAAAAGAAACGCAATAAAAAACGTTTGCAGTCAAACGTAAGTGTTCTTTTCATCGTATTTATTAGATTATGTAGATATCTTATTCCACATTGTTTTACTTTTTCCACTAGAAACTGCTACGTCATTACTCCACTATTTAATACAACAATACTTAAACAAAGAGGACGAAAGCCTGATTCTTTCGAACACTTATAAGAATGCGGATTATTTATTTCATTGTTGCCATTGATTTACCCTACAAATTATTTCAAGTTTCTATCTTTAACGATTGAATGAGACAGGAGTTCACACAGATAAGCACCCAATATGACATACTGTCGTCGCTTATTTATATGATATCTCACGAAAAGTGCTTATTAATTACAAAGTTACTGTTAACCTTTTAACTTTTTTTTACCCAGGTTTTGGCTTTTCGCTTTCGTCAGAGTACGTTACAATGTCGTTAAACTATGTCATTGATTAAAATTAAAATAATAATTCAGTATCGTTGTTTAAATTTATTTTTACTTTCTTATTGCTTGAATTATGATTTATAACTTTTCGTAGTGAGAATTTTTGTTTTATACTCCTGCCACTTTCAAAAAATGTTAGTTAATTATACACTCACAAAAAAAGGACACTTTTCCCAAAGCGTGTTGTATTATATAATTGTAAGTAATTGATGGTTTGTGTTTTGTATTTATTCGATTTCACCAAGATCGCGGTATTGTGAATGTTACAACATACTCTTATATACAACAGGTCTAGACAAATGTTTCTCAACCACCAGTTTGCGGCCCAGCGCACGTTCGTCACAACCACCTTACCTATCCACGGGATTCACAGAAACAAACAAAAATGTCAAATATTCATATGTAAATCGCAATGGTTTTCGGTGTTATTGCATTTTAGTGTCCACGACAATCTAAGGAGGCTGCGAGGCGGTCCCTGGTTGCTGTATCACCAACAAAACCCTACAATAGGTGGTCCCTGGTTGCTGTATCACCAACAAAACCCTACAATAGGCGGTCCCTGGTTGCTGTATCACCAACAAAACCCTACAATAGGTGGTCCGTGGTTGCCGCATCATCAACAAAACCCTATAATAGGCGGTCCCTGGTTGCTGTATTACCAACAAAACCCTACAATAGGTGGTCCGTGGTTGCCGCATCATCAACAAAACCCTATAATAGGCGGTCCCTGATTGCTGTATCACCAACAAAACCCTACAATAGGCGGTCCCTAGTTGCTGTATTACCAACAAAACCCTACAATAGGCGGTCCCTGGTTGCTGTATCACCAACAAAACCCTACAATAGGCGGTCCCTGGTTGCTGTATCACCAACAAAACCCTACAGTATTCGCCAACCGTGTTTCAGTGGAAACAATTTCTCGAAACACAGTGTTACCTTGTGTTATATTTATGTGCTTTTATCCAATTGATCCCGACGTTTGGCGAAGTATTTTAAGTTTGTTTATATTACCAGTGTCTACTCAGTGGGTTAGGAACATGTTTACCGTGCGGTGTATTATCCCCCGAAAATGTAACAACAATGCTGTTTCGGGAAATGACGACCAGCGAGTGGCTTAGCTTCCCTGTATAATAGAAAGTGTAGTTTTTATATAATTCCAGAAGCCCACATTCCTACTCCATTGGAGTGTGGATTTTTAAATAGAACAAAGGACAATGCCACGTTCCTCTTCAGCATATCGTATTACATAGAATTGAACGTGGTGAAATGGAGGTTTATTCTACGCGTATATCAGTGAAATCTATACTTCATGTCGTTCTATTTAGTGTAGGTAACGAAGTTCGATAAAGACACATACACAAGTACGGAGAACTCAAAAATGATTTGTAAAAAAACGCCAATTCTCCTGTGGAAGTTTAGTTATCAGTAAGTGTTAGCACACCAGTCTCCCTGTGGGTGTTTAGCTATCAGTAAGTATTAGCACACCAGCCTCCCTGTGGGTGTTTAGCTATCAGTTAGTGTTAGTACACCAGTCTCCCTGTGGGTGTTTAGCTATCAGTAAGTGTTAGCACACCAGCCTCCCTGTGGGTGTTTAGCTATCAGTAAGTGTTAGGACACCAGTTTCCCTGTGGGTGTTTATTTGTAGACGGCTTCTGAAGGGTTTTCACGGCCGTTCTCCCGATGAAGGTCAATTTTTGAAGGGTTTTCACGGCCGTGCACCCGATGAAGGTCAACCTCCATCCATCATTCTTCTAGAGAAAAAGAGCAACAAACTGACAGTATTTTTTTCTGATTTATTTATTTATTTATTTTCATTTGCAGATCCTCCCCGAATTGTGATAGCCCCCAGAGACCAGACAGTGGTCAGCGGTAGCATCGCTAGTTTCGTCTGTACAGCTTTTGGGAATCCTAAGCCTATGATTGAGTGGCGGAAAGATAACCGACGAATAACTACCCAACGCTATACAGTTCAAGAAATGCCCAATGGCTCCGTACTACGGATAGAACCTGTACGCCCTGAGAGAGACATATCTGTCTACGAATGCGTAGCGGAGAACGGAGTAGGAGAGCCAGCTAAGGCAGCGGCGGAACTAAAGGTCCTCCCTGGTAAGTTATTTTTCTTGGGGCTGTAGTGTTTGAAGCTCTAGTTGGGGTAGTGAATAACGTTGTAAGTGTCGTTACAGTGGTACTTTGTACTATGAGCTAAAGTCATCCAGTCGTAACAAAATTCTATGTTTCTTAAGGACACTTATAAACTTAAGAATGGTTGTGATTTTTGAACGTTTCAAAATGTCTCAAAGTCTAACTTGCTAGTAGTTGATATTAAGTGTGAAATTACGTCACAGTAAGACTGGTAGTTATTTTAATCACGTCTTTCTTTATTGGCCCATTAATGGTCTCCATGGTTATAGTAGCATATCATCCATACTTCATCTGTTTGCCGCAGACGACGAGATTTTTCGCTCAGTACCATATTTCATCAGAACGACTATATATTGATGAGCTATTATTAGATCCTTGAAACTCGATTTATACAGTAGACGATGTATTGATGAGCTACTATTAGATGCTTGAAACTCGATTTATGCAGTAGACGATGTATTGATGAACTATTATTAGATGCTTGAAACTCGGTTTATACAGTAGACGATGTATTGATGAGCTACTATTAGATGCTTGAAACTCGATTTATACAGTAGACGATGTATTGATGAGCTACTATTAGATGCTTGAAACTCAATTTATACAGTAGAGTATGTATTGATAAACTACTATTAGATGCTTGAAACTCAATTTATACAGTAGACTATGTATTGATAAACTACTATTAGATGCTTGAAACTCAATTTATACAGTAGAGTATGTAATGAGGAGCTACTATTAGATGCTTGAAACTCTATTTATACAGTAGACGATGTATTGATGAGCTACTATTAAAGTCTACTGTATAAATTGAGTTTCAAGCATCTAATAGTAGTTTATCAATACATAGTCTACTGTATAAATTGAGTTTCAAGTATCTAGTAGTAGTTCATCAATACATAGTCTACTGTATAAATCGAGTTTCAAGCATCTAATAGTAGCTCATCAATACATCGTCTACTGTTTAAATTGAGTTTCAAGCATCTAATAGTAGTTTATCAATACATAGTCTACTGTATAAATCGAGTTTCAAGCATCTAATAGTAGGTTATCAATACATAGTCTACTGTATAAATCGAGTTTCAAGCATCTAATAGTAGCTCATCAATTCATCGTCTACTGTATAAATTGAGTTTCAAGTATCTAATAGTAGCTCATCAATACATAGTCTACTGTATAAATTGAGTTTCAAGCATCTAATAGTAGTTTATCAATACATAGTCTACTGTATAAATCGAGTTTCAAGCATCTAATAGTAGCTCATCAATACCATGTCTACTGTATAAATCGAGTTTCAAGCATCATGTATTGATAAACTATTATTAGATGCTTGAAACAAAATTTGGGGGCTATATCCTCACAGAAGACACAATGCAGAACGCTCCTTGTATAATTTTATACGAAAAGAAACACTTCAGTGTTTTCAGTATGTTATTAGTCAATCAATTCCATGGTTGGTCATCTTTTAAATGTTGGCACAACGTTAATCGTCACTTCACAAAAAAGCGCTTCAGCATACTCAAAATCAACGGGTTGATTTTTTTTACACTAACTCTAACTGTTTTATACCAAACTGCAGAACTGTGATGGTAACCAGTGATTCTTATTTCATTATCAATATGCATATATGTTTTTTCAGCTACTCATTTTACAGTTACCGCTTTCAGGGTCAGGCATGGCCAGGTGGTTAGGGCGCTATCTGAGGGTCGCGGATTAGAATCCCCGTCCCACCAAACATGCTTGCCTTTTCAGCCATGGGGGCGTTATAATGTGACGGTCAGTCCCACTATTCGTTGGTAAAAGAGTTGGCGGTGGGTGGTGATGAATAGTTGCCTTTCATTGTTAAATTAGGGACGGCTAGCGCAGATAGCCCTCGTGTAGATTTGCGCGAAATACAAAACAAACCAAACCGTTTTCAGTAAGTGAGTGGTTAAACATTTAATAACTAATGGTAACTGAATAACGATGAACGTGCCGCTAATTGCTAACTTAAACTTCTGTTTCAAAATATTTCTTTTACTTGAATATAAGATAGTCAAAAATAACCTAACATACATAGAAAAGAAAAAAAACTGATGATTCTTTATTAAAAAGTAAAACTTTGCGTTCATATAGCCCTCTTAAGTATGCATGTGCACAAGTTTTTTTTTAAAGTGACTGTAATTTGATGTAAAATAGAACAACCTGAGAACTAGCAGAATATAGCTTTTCTCAAACCTATGACGTAATGATATTTGTGTTTCTTTCGTCGCGCATGCTTACGAACTAGTATATCTGCTATTTACTGATTGAAGATAACAATCTTGCAAAAGCTTAGGGTTGGCGTCACACAAGCTTTCTCCAGCAAGTGAGTGAATGAAATAAGACACGCTTTTCTACTCGTGTTCTGCTTGAAATAATACACGTGCAGTGTACTTGTGTTAAAACTTTAGAACTTGTGAAAGGCTTTAATGTAAGGTATCATGTTGGCTAGCCATTTTTATGAAGTTCTACTTTGATAATCTCCATAAGCACATCATAGGGTGCGTGCTGTGTTAAAAAACAATTATTCTCGTTCCGCAGACGTTTTATTTTCATTTCCAATGTTACACTTGTCATGCTAGTTATGTCAGGTATATGAAGGTGATTCATATCACACAAATTGGAAACGTTTCGTTGATTTTATGTGTGGAAACAAACACACAGTTTAATTTGTAAATAAACTTGTGTTTTATACATCATCTTCAGAAATCTTCTTTGAGTTACACTTCACCATAGTTAATTTTGGCGACAAGTTGGAGATTTGTGTCCAAAGAATGTTGTCTGTCATCTTAACAAGATGCATAACCTTAATTCCCACTCTTTAAGACGGTAATAAATATAAAAATAGTAAAGCTAGGAGATGGGCTAAATTGACGTTTCGCTTCTGTTGAACCTGACTGAATACTTTTCTTCTGTTAATACTGCATAGTTCGCAACTCGTTGCCGCAAGAAAGCTTTCACCGCTATAGCGCCGTGGGTGTGCTGTACGAGATAAATATCTCTGTTTTATCTGACAAGTGTAGCCCAAGAGTTGGCGGTGGGTGCTGTTGATTAGTTGTCTTCCCTATTGTCAGTATCAGTTGAAAATTGTGGATAGTTATATTAGATATCGTTTGAGATTAAGTGATTTAGGTATAGTTTGACACTGTAAATGTGGATTCAGATTAAGTGAATTAGGTATAGTTTTACACTGTAAACGCTGTTTTAACAGGTCAATATGGTTAATATATCTCAGTCTCTTTTCGTTCAGTTTTCTAAGTTGTTTGGTAGGGTTGGGATTAGAATACGATTGGGAAGTTGTAATGGAGAGAAGGTTTAGTTTGAGGAGAGTGGAAGATTTTACTATAGGACGTGAAGGTTCAGAGTCATCAGGTTTGGAACTTAGTGGAGAATTTCTAGGAATATAGTGGATACCAGAAGGAAGGTTGTTTTCAAGGTGTGCAGAAGATTCGGCTTTTGGAAGGAGAAAAGTTTTAGAGATTGTGAAGTTTGGAAGGTCATCAGGCTCAGGGCTTACTAGAAGGTTATTAGGAATAAGAGTGGAAGCCGTAACTTCTGCATGAGTAGAGTAGAAGGGTCAAATGTAGACTTTGGAATAGTTCCAGGGGTAGTAGTGATGGAATTTGGAAGTATAGAAGTGTGGCATACAGATGTATATAGTTTGTGTTGAAAGGTTGTGACTAAAGCAGGCTTCGTGGATTGGGTATTAGGTTTAGGGCTTAGGGAAAGGTTACTAGAAATAAAATTGGAAGCTGTAACTTCAGCATAGGTTAGACATTTAGGCGTAGGCACATAATTAGAGTTTAGTACAGTTCCAGGAGAAACAGGATTTGGAAGTGTAGTAGAGGTGTGGCATACAGATGTATGCTCTTCGGGTTGAGAATTTTTAATGAGATAGGGGTATGGGGAACAGAAGAGGTTGACGGAGATTTAGGACTAGGGGTGTTTGGTTGGAGTATTCAATATTAGTTTGTAGGCGAGGAAGAATAAAGTTGGTAATAAAGAAGTGGAAATTATGGGATAGGGAAACGATTCCTTGGAAGGAAAGGTGTAAACTAAGAAATGTCTCCTGCTTTCAAGTTAGTGTTGTAAAGGAAAGAAAAGCGTGGGTTACGTCGACATAGGTCATGTGCGAGAGCGTTGAATTTGTCAGTTTTGATTTAAGGTGTCAGTAGTACAAAGATAATCAGTATGTCTATTAACGTCACGGTAAATAACGCTTGAGAAACATACGCGAAGGTTAGTACGGAGAGTCAAAATATGTAACAGTAAGGTTTGTAGGTCATTAAAACAGTCATAAGCGGTTTTTGAGTTCCGTTTGAGGTCGTTAGTTCCAACATGAAGAATTAGGTATTTGTTTCTTTGTTCTCCTGAAGAAGAATAGTCAACTATTCGAAAGCGCTTGAGTTTTGGGTCTTATTTTAAATTTATTGCACTTTATATGTGATTCTTTGTGCTAACTTTTTTATCAAGTCACATATCGTTTGGGTATGTTTACTCGAAAATTCCGAAACAAAAAACATGCACGTAGATTCTTCATTAAAATATTACAAATACGTACATTTCAGCCATTCTCAATGTAGTAATATCTCTATATTTTACGACCTTTGGCTCATTAAAGCTTAATATGGATGTCCTAATTTCCTAATATTAATTTAATATTTGTCTATCAATGATGTTTAACTCTGTGTATTTAATGTAAATATACCTGCTTTCTTTGACGGACTAAACTTTGAACTTACTTCTTCTAATTATGTTTAACAAGGTACGGAAAATTTGTCATATTTTTGAACGAATATTTTAACAGTGTAGCTGTGTGCATGTATTCAAACACTTCTCTCTTGTAAAGAGCAACATTATGGGATTGTTAGTAGAATACCTTAACACTGTAAGCTTATATATCCAGTTAGCTACCTATCAATCCATCTGTTTATGTCATTTTG